CTAACCAACTTATTACTAGTCCCTAGTAATCAAAGCGTTAAAATAGAAAAATACTTTGCAAATTCAACAAAACAAGGTACTCATCATTCAACTTCCATTAATCTATCTAGATAAACAAACTCTTATTAAATTTATATATCTACTCAATACCTTTTAACAAGATATTAATAAACCTTTCTTTTGTGCTTAATATATTAACACATAATTATGGGGTTTTTCTTTGAAGAAAACAAAATTTTTGTTCTAATGTTTAAGGTTAACTTCCTTGGGTTGAGATTATTATTATTTTTTTTCTCTCTGTTTTCTTTTAATATATATACATATAACTTAAAACACCATGCATCTTTAACCCATGTAATGAGCTTTGGGCTAATGACTCCCAGACCAGTTGGTCGTAGGGCATTAGGTGTTGAGACACTCCTACGAGTTTAGTAACTCGGGTGGCAGATACTGATACGTAGATAGTGCAATGTTTGATTCCCTTAAGCTTTTCTCCTCAACCCATGTAACAAGCGTTGTGCCAATAGCTTCCAAGTCAGTTGACTTTAGGGTATTAGGTGTTAAAACACCCTTTTGGGCTTAATTGCTTAGGTTAGAGAGGCTATAAAACCACACTTATCTATATTTTTATTATCATCATTTTTTTGCTCTTTTTTTTTTAATTATATATTATCCATTTTTCTTAGTTGTTACCTTTAACAAAAGAACATAAATAATGTAATAATCCAATTTGTAACCCACAATCATATGTTAAAATGTGTGTGAGTAAATTAAGGTTTAAGAATACATGTTAAATAAGTATATGAGCAAAATTAAGTGATAACAATGTGAGAGTTTGTAAAACTGAATATTTCAAGAAGTATTATGATAGATCTTATTAAGAATGGTTACTAAGATGCGTCTCAAGAGTTATAAAAAGATCTCCTTTACTCTGCCATTATAGTAACAACAATTTTGCACATGCTTTATGAAATATAAAACACAGTTAATTAATTTTTTTTTAGTTACTACCCTCTCCCCCCAACCAAAACGAGACATTGTCCACAATGTTCTAAGGTAGAAAGATAGAGTAAAGAAGATATCACCTGAAATAACGAACACTGACAAACCTGAAACACACTGAAATAAAAATAAAAAATAACAAAACACAATAATAAAACTAAAAGACAAAAACAATTACAAATAAAGACTTAAATCTAATCTAAGCTTTTTATGGCTTTCCTTAGATGACCAATTTATGCGGCTCATGGAGGGATCAATTACAGGAATGAAAGATTGTAGTTGGTCAATCAATTATTTAGCAGTAGCAGCAGAGATTATGATTTGTCATGCAGAAGATTGTAGAAATTCTTCTTTCACAACATGATCAAGAAAAGATAACAACTTATCATAATAACCATTAACATTTAACAAACCTATGGGTTTATGGTGAATGTGCAGTTGGGCCCAAGAGGAAATATGAAAGATCTCTTCCAATGTGCCTAGACCACCTGGTAAGGAAATGAAGGCATCGGTATGGTTAAACATTGCATTCATTCAAGCAGACATTGTGGAGACTTGTAGTTCCTCTCTAATTGTTTTTCCAATGATATCCCCTTGTGTTAAAACTTCAGGGATGACCCTCAAAACTTGACTACCTCCTAAAAATACAACTATTGACACACCTCCCATTAACCCAAGACTAACTCCTCAATACACTAAATGAATCTTTCTCATAGCTAGTACCTGACCAAGATGATTTGCTGATTCTAAAAACTCCTTTTCTTTCCCAGGATTAGATCCACTGAAAACATAAATATTTCTTATGTAATGACCTGAGAAATGGAAGGAAGGAAGAGAGGATTTTATAGATGAGAAATTAAAAAGGCAATCATACCCACCTATATATAGGGCAGCTGGAGTCTCACACACACACTCTCTCTCTCTTTATTTATTTATTTTTGAAAAAGCATGTGTATGTACAGGTAGTTATGATTGTGGCTCACATGTTCCCATAGTTTTATGACCAAGAACAGCTTAAATGCCCTCTATGGGTCGGGGATAGGCTTCCTAACCTGTTTTCTTTAAAACTAGTAAACAGGGTTTTTTTTAGTCAGATTCCCATGACTATGCTAAGCATGTTCTTTATGAAAATGGGTTCATAAATCATGAATTGCATGATGCTTATCTCGATTATGATGAGACTGAAGAGTTAATAGAAGATTATCTAAAGACTCTCTATGTTTTGAAATAAATCCCACCTTTTGATAATTTTCATAGTTTTTGCGAAATGCTTGTGATTCCTTGAATATGGTGGGCCAGTAAAATCCACTCTGTAAGATTTCTACAGTCTTTTTTTTACGAGAAATTATACCCACGTGCCTTAGAATGATAAAATTTAATGACATTACTTACCTCATTGCTAGGAATGCATCTTTGAAATATTTGATCAAGACAATAATTGAATAAGGGTCATCCCAATAAAATTTTTGCATGTTGCTCAAAAATTTTCTTTTGTCTTCGGTACTCTAGTGAGCTGGTCAAAATCCTGAAGCAAGAAAATTGATATTTTTAGCAAACCAAGGTATTGAACTAAGAGAAAGTAGAGATTCATCAGGAAAGTAATCATTCATTGGTGTGATGTTAGGTGTCGATTCTGTTGTCACTTTTGATAAAATATCCGCATCAACATTTTTGGTGCCCTTTTTCATCCTCGATTTTTTCCTGTTTGAAAGTCTCAAAGATTTCACAATCGTGATTAACTTCCTTTTGTTTGGTCATGGCATGAGGAAATGGAAATACTGGTGGGAAATCAGTTTTTTCCTTGCAATATTCAGATTTAACCCCTTCCTTATCCTTAAAGATTGACTCATCGTCTTTCTCACAAGGTTCAAGAGTGGGTTTTTCAATAACTTTACCACTATGAAAAGTGATGACTGATTTGACTTGATCCATATGTTGACTTCCAGAACTACTTGCATTTGCATTGTATCGCTCCTTGGGATTTTGTTATGGTTGAGATGGAAACTTACCTAACATAGTTATCTTATTTGATTAATGCTAATACTTGCCAAGGTTAGAGATTCCACTAATGGTATGTCAAACAAGTATAGTATAAACTCTTATTATTGAATTGGAAACCACACACAAAGGAGGTTCCAATCAGATTATAAATTATTAACATGATCACATTAGTTATCTTATTTCATTAATACTAATACTTGTAAATCTCGTTAGGCATTTGACACGACAAAAAGATTGTTATCTTCTCCCAAGTGCAGGAGTGTCGAAGTAATAAATAACCCGTCATAGCTCAGGTGTCGGTTATACCATACATTATGGGCTATGAAAGTGCCAAGCATTTGTTGTACCAAGTGTTATACAACATAAATCAAGATTAGTCATTTAACAAGCAAAGTATTAAAGAGTGAACAAGATAACAAATATAAAACATGTTAGTATCAAACATTAAAGTCCATATTAAGTTTACATTATACTTATTCTTACACCATTAGTGTAACCTTTTCACCTTGACATAATTAACTTAGCTAGACATAATGAAAGAAAGCAAAATAAATAAACAAAATAAGAACATTGACATAATTAACTTAGCTAGACATAATGAAAGAAAGCAAAATAGATAAACAAAATAAGAACATAAAAGTTAACTAAGTAAAGAAAAGGAAATGAAAGGCATAAACTTAATATTAATGAAAGCAAAGCATAAACATTACAAAAAATACAAAGAGAGAAAGGAAGAGCATGATCTTGATCTGGAAACCAAGATGCCTAAATGCATGGCAAATGCCTCCTTTTATAGGCCAAAATTGGGAACTATTGATTTGATGACTAATTGATAAGTGGGTGGCCAACTTTTGACTTGGTGACAATCCTTATCTTCTCTTGTCTACCCAAAACATCATTGCTAACATCAAAACTGGAGCCCGTTACAAACATGAAAGTTGTAGGCAATTGTCTCAGCTTTCTTGTGTAAAACATTCAGCTCATTTGGACTTCTAGAACTCCAGATATGGCCAAAATACCGAACAGTGCTCGGGCTGGAAGACAGATTCGGGCTTCTTTGTTGTTGCTACAATTTGGACTTGATAATGGCCTTTTTAGATCTTGGGCTCCATATGAAAGTTGTAGGCCTATGTCTTACCTTTCCATCCATATAAATTGGACCTAAATCTGAGATCTGTATCTCCAGATATAACCCAATTACTAAACAGTGTTCCGGTTTGGATTGCACCGACATCTCTTCTCTAAGTTTGGCCATCTCTTTATCCTTGCAATTTAAGTTCTTCAAGTCATCAATCAATCCTTTCATTTATGTGATAGACCTGCATTAAAAATAGACATTTACCACAAATTAAAGGTATCTTATATTATTAGATATATTATTATAAAACATGCTTTGGTTAAGGAGTTATTGATACTTCAAGTGCAAAATGATGATATAAAACCATGATAAAAATGCACTTTTAAGTACTAATCACTTAAACTCATCACTCAATGCTTTTCTTTATGTTATAGGCTTGCATTTAAAATGAACATTTACAATAAATTAAAAACATCTTATATTATTAGATATCTTAGTATAAAACATGTTTTAATTAAGGAGTTATTGATACTTCAAGTGCAAAATGATAATATAAAACCTTGATAAAAATATATTTTTAAATACTAATCACCTATCCTTGGCTTTAATGTGAGGTTGATTCGAGGATTGCACTAATTTTAGTATCAGAGCTTCTATGTGGTTACCCAGTTCCATTCATTGCAGTATTCCACGCCCATGCATATAACCCACAGTGGTACTTTATACACCTTGGCAAACAACCCAAACTCGTCCAACCAAAACCCAAACAACTTGGACCCAACCAACGAGAACCTAAACAACTCAAATTCAACCAACTAATCAAAACCTAAACAACCCAAACCCAACCAACCAAAACACAAACACCCAAGGCACAAACCAACCTCAGTTATGATAACAAATTGATCAAATCTGCACAGTAATGGAACAACTTATTCATCGACTGGATGTAATGAAGGAGCATTATGCTCAAGAGGAGTATGGGCCCTTCAATCAGCGAATCCATATAACAGTTCGTAGAGAGAGGTTGGTGACAGCGATGAAAATGCTTATGAAGGAGAAGAAGGAAACCAGGAGTTTGAAAATCAGGAGCCTTGAGTCTAACATCATAGGCAAAACACGCATCGAGGGCATGCAGATCATGGTGCAGGCTATCAACCTCTTGATGAACAAACCAAAAGAATGAAGGTTGATGTGCTAGATTTTCTTAGAAAATTAGAACCTAATGCTTTTGAAGACTAGTTAACGGCTATTGAGGATTATTTTGACTAGTTTTCCATTTCAGAAGATAGGAAGGTTCGTTATGTTCAGATGAAATTGAAGGGGAATGCACGAGTATGGTAGGGAAGCATGGAAGAACAATTGCACTAAACACGCAGACCAACAGTTTCTGATTGGGTAGAGACAAAAGAACAACTAAAAGAAAAATATTTTCCAATTGACTATGTGTAAATGATGTTCGAGGAGATGTTGCAACTCAGGCAAAGGTCAATGAGCTTTGATCAATTTACTGATCGCTTCCACAAATTGGCTGTTCGTAGTAAGGTTGTGGAGACTGAGCAACAGACCTTAGCTCGATATCACACAGGACTAAGCAATGAGCTGTGTAAATAAATATAGACTACACACTTAATCAATGTGGAGGACGTATATCAATTGGCACTCTAACACGACCAAAAAATTGATGTCTTCTCTCAAGTGCAGGAGTGTCAAAGTAATAATTAACTCTGCAAGACCGGAGTCAAACCATAGGGAGGTTAATTGTATAAATTATAAACAACAACAACAACAACAACAATAATAATAATAAAGAAAAAGAAAAAGAAGAAGAAGAAGTTGATGAGAACTTTGAGATGAAAGATCAATGGAAGGATTAAACAATGATAATAATAAATGTCAAGGTTAGAGGATCCACTAATGGTATGTCAAACAAATATAGTATAAACTCTTGTTATTCAATTGGAAACCACACATAAAAGAGGTTCCAATCAGATTATAAATTGTTAATATGATTACATTAGTTATCTTATTCGATTAATGTTAATACTTGTAAATGTTGTTAAACATTCATGATTATAACTTATATTAACAACAAATCACGTTTCTTTCATAGCACAGGTGTAGGTTATATCATACAGTTAAGCTATGAAAGTGTCAAGGATTTGTTGTACCAAGTGTTATATAACATAAATGTAGATTAGTCATTCAACAAGTAAAGTATTAAAGAGTGAACAAAATAACAAATATAAAACATGTTAGTATTAAACATTAAGGTCCGTGTTGAGTTTATATTATGCTTATTCTTACACCATTAGTGTAACCTTTTTACCTTGACATAATAAACTTAACTAAACATAATGAAAGAAATAAAAATAAATAAATAAAATAAGCAATAAATAAGATAAAAATTAACTAAATAAAGGAAAGGAAATGAAAGGCATAAACTTGATATTAATAAAAACAAAACATAAGCAATACAAAGAGAGAGAGCAAGAGCATGATCTTGATCTAGAAATCAAGATACCTTGATGCATGACAAATGCCTCCTTTTATAGGCCAAAATTGAAAACTATTGACTTGATGATTAATTAATGAGTGGGTGACCAACTCTTCACTTGGTGATAATCCTTATCTTCTCTTGTCTGCCCAAAATGTCATTGATAACATCACATTTGGAACTACTTGAAAACATGAAAATTCTAGGAAATTTTCTTAGCTTTCCATTAAAAAAAAAAATTGAGGTCATTTGGACTTGAAAACGACATTTTTAAATCTTAGACTCCAAATAAAAGTTGTACGCCTATGTCTTACCTTTTCATCCATAAAAATTAGACCTAAATTCGAGATCTACAGCTCCAGAGATAACCTAATTACCGAACAGTGTTCTAGTTTGAACTATACCGGCATCTCTTTTCTAAGTTTGGTAATCTCTTTGTCCTTTTAATTTCAGTGCTTAAACTCATCAATCAATCCTTTTATTTATGTGATAAACTTACATTTAAGATGAACATTTACCATAAATTAAAGGTATTTTATATTATTAGATATGCTATTATAAAACATGCTTTAGTTACGGAGTTATTAATCTTTCAAGTGCAAAATAATGATATACAATCTTGATAAAAATATATTTTTAAGTACTTAAGCAATTTGTATTTGGCCATTACTCTCAATTTCTGAATCTTAACCCTCACCCTAAGTTTTGCAATAGGTGCTTCAAGCATACCTTTTTCCTTAACAATAGTTTCTAAATCTTTATTGTTTTTCAAGTTTTAATGACTCCATTATCATATTAAGTTTAATATGTGAATTTGAGTTTTCTATATATTAAAAACTTGAATCTTATTATAGATGATATATTTAAATTAAGCATTACACTTCAATTTAATAGAAAATTTAAAAGATTTAATTTTTTAAAAATATAAAAACAAACAATACTTTCATATCCGCTCCTTTAAAGTTGTGTCATGTACTCTCTATATATAATTTTATTTGAAAATATATTAAATAAATTTTTTATATTAAAACATAAAAATTATAAAAAATACTAATTTTTTATATAAATATATTTTTAAAAAATAAAAACTATCTTACTCCAAATTTGTATTAACGGGTTGCCTCTATTAGATTCTCTGAATTCAAATAAATTGTTTTTTTTTTAATAAAGAAATTTACAGATCACATTCACTCGGACTGAGATTATTAATTTAATGGAAGCCACGGCAGTCGTTTTACCATGGACATTTCTTATAAACGGTATCCAAGAATCCTTCACCCCCACACCAAACCAAACTATGGCTTCCTTTACCTCTCTTTCCTGTAGCATCCCTTTAGCAGCCTCCTCTTTCTTGCCTTCCCTCCCAGAAACACACCGAGTTCCCAGAATTGAAAAGCCAAAACGTCACCATATCCCGATTGTTTCTTGCAAATCAGGCAAAAATGATAACGAACAAAACCCTGCCACCAGAAGAGATCTGCTCATCGGTCTCGGTGGACTCTATGGAGCAACTAGACTTAGTGATCCATTTGCCTATGCTAACCCCATTGCACCCCCAGACTTAACCCAATGTGAGCTCGTTACCCTGCCATCCGAAAGTAATCCCACGAACTGTTGCCCTCAAACTTCCACAAAGATCAAAAACTTCGAATTCCCTTCTGCGTCCTCCCCAATGCGCATTAGGCCTGCTGCTCATTTAGTTGATAAAGCCTACCTAGCTAAATACGCCAAAGCCATTGCACTGATGAAAAGTCTTCCTGACGATGATCCACGTAGCTTCAAGAACCAAGCTAACGTTCATTGTGCTTATTGTGATGGTGCTTATCACCAAGCAGGCTTTCCTGATTTACAACTTCAAATTCACTTCTCGTGGCTCTTCTTTCCATGGCATAGAGCCTATTTATACTACTTCGAAAGAATCTTGGGTAAACTGATTGATGATCCAACTTTCGCTTTGCCTTTCTGGAATTGGGATGCCCCTGCCGGCATGCAAATGCCAGCCATTTTTACTGACCCCCAATCACCACTTTATGACCCTCTTCGCGACGCGAATCACCAACCTCCGACATTGCTTGATCTTAATTACGCCAAAGGAGATGCGAATCCAGACCCTGCAAAAGCAGAGGAATTGTATGCATACTAATACTTGTAAATCTCGTTAGGCATTCATGATTATAACTTATGTTAACAACAAATCAAGTTCCTTTCATAGCTTAGGTGTCAGTTATACCATACAGTATGGACTATGAGAGTGCCAAGCATTTGTTGTACCAAGTGTTATACAACATAAATCAAGATTAGTCATTTAACAAGAAAAGTATTAAAAAGTGAACAAGATAACAAATACAAAACATGTTAGTATCAAACATTAAAATCCATATTAAGTTTACACTATAATTATTCTTACACCATTAGTGTAACCTTTTCACCTTGACATAATAAACTTAACTAAACATTATGAAAGAAAAAATAAATAAAATAAGAACATAAATAAGATAAAAGTTAACTAAGTAAATGAAAGGAAATGAAAGGCATAAACTTGATATTAATGAAAGCAAAGCATAAACATTATAAAAAATACAAAGAGAGAAAGCAAGAGCATGATCTTGATCTGGAAACTAAGATACCTAAATGCATGGCAAATGCCTTCTTTTATAGCCTAAAATTGGGAACTATTGATTTAATGACTAATTGATGAGTGGGTGGCCAACTCTTGACTTGGTGACAATTCTTATCTTCTCTTGTCTGCCCAAAACATCATTGATAACATCAAAATTGGAATCACTTGAAAACATGAAAGTTGTAGGAAATTGTCTTAGCTTTCTTGTGTAAAACATTAAGGTCATTTGGACTTCTAGAACTCCAGTTATGGGCCAAATACTGAACAATGCTCGGGCTGGAGGGCAGATTCGGACTTCTTTGTTGTTGCTACAATTTGGACTTGAAAATGGCCTTTTTAAATCTTGGGCTCTATATGAAAGTTGTAGGCCCATGTCTTACCTTTTCATCCATATAAAGTAGACTTAAATCTAAGATCTGTAGCTCTAGATATGACCCAATTACCGAACAGTGTTCCGGTTTGGACTGCACCAACATCTCTTTTCTAAGTTTGGCCATCTCTTTATCCTTTCAATTTCAGTTCTTAAATTTATCAATCAATCCTTTCATTTATGTGATAGGCCTGCATTTAAAATAAATATTTACCATAAATTAAAGGTATCTTATATGATTAGATATGTTATTATAAAACATGTTTTACCTAAGGAGTTATTGATACTTCAAGTGAAAAAATGATGACATAAAACCTTGATAAAAATGCACTTTTAAGTACGAATAAGCATGCGTGCCCTTGAACATGGTGGGCTAATAAAATCTATTTTTAAAGATTTTTGCAGCTGTCTATTTTGACAAGAAATAACTTCCACGTGCTTTAGAATGACAAAGTTGAATAACACTAGTTACCTTATTGTCAGGAATGCATTTTTGAAATATTTGATCAGGACAATAGTTGAATAAGTTAGGGTCATCCCAATAAAAGTTCTTCACTTTGTTCAAAAACTTTTCTTTATCTTGGGTACTCCAATCAGTTGGCAAATCTCCTAAAGTAAGAAAATTGATATTTTTATCATACCAAGGCATTGGACTAAGAGAAAGTAAGGATTCAAGAGGAAAGTAATCATCAATTGGTGTGATGTTAGATGTCAAATTTGTTGTCACTTTTGACAAAAGATCTGTATCAACATTTTTGGTGTGTTTTTCATCCATGATTTCTTCCTCAGAATAAATCATTTACAAATCTTTAGATTCATCCAACTCATTTTTACTTAAAGTAGATTCAAGTTGATTATAAACTAATTCGTCAATATGATATACTTCTTGTAAATCATTATCATCTCTAGGTTGCTTGCAAATGTTGAAAATATTTATCTCTAGTGTGATGTTTTCAAATGATAGCTTCATCAGTCCATTCCTATAATTAATCAATGCATTAGAAGTTGCAAGAAACAGATGTCCTAAAATAACAGGAAATGAATTACATGCTTCAAGAGGTTGTGTGTCCAAGATAACAAAATCCATAGGATAAATGAATTTATCGACTTGTACTAACACATCTTCAACTATTTCTCTAGGTATTTTTACAGATCTATCAGCAAGTAAAAGAGTTATAGAAGTTGGTTTTAACTCATCTAGATTGAGACTTTGAAAAACTGAATATAGAAGTAAATTCACACTAGCTCCAAGATCAAGTAAGGCTCTTTCAATTTTATGTTCTCCAATAAAACCAGAAATTGTAGGACAACCAGAGTCTTTATATTTCAAAGCATTATTGTTCTGAAGAATGACACTTACTTCTTCGGCCAAAAAAGCTTTCTTTTTCACATTCAGTTTTCTCTTCACCGCGCATAGATCTTTCAAAAATTTAGCATAGAAAGGAACCTGTTTAATAGCATCCAACAAAGGTATATTGATTCTTACCTGTTTGAAAGCTTCAATGATTTTAGAGTTGTGATTGACTTTCCTTTGTTTGGTCATGGCATGAGGAAATGGAAGTGCTAGTGGGGAATCAGTCTTTTCTTTGCAAATTTCAGATTCAACTCCTTCCTTACCCTTAGAGATTGACTCATTATCTTTCTCACAAGGTTCAAGAGTGGGTTTTTCAATAAACATAAATCATTATTTTATAATTAAATCCAAAAACCCTTCCTAACACCTCACACAAGAGATACGACAAAAAACGTCTGCTAGTGTTAGATGACGTCGCGTCGATGCTCGCACCCCCCAACAAAAATAATAGCACATTGGATTGATTTGGGTTCCATAATTTAACCAATGAAACTTATGATCCAGGTTATGAACGCTACTAGCTTTAATAACTTTGTGTTTTTTGCAGATCATACACTAATGGGCCGGAACTAAAAGGCTAGGTGAGTATAGGCTTCGAAGCCTAATTCATGCCTTTTTTAATCTTTTCATAAGGAGCAGGTAGCCCATTGTGTTGTTAGCTCACACGATTTTTTCAAGTAGACAATATCTTAAAATCTAGTCATTACTGTGGTAGCTAAAAAATATATAGGGGAGGGTTTTGTCCTCAATATTTATTTTCTAGCTATTTTCACCTAAAAAACCTCAAAATACCATAAAAATATCCGTAAACCCCTGCTAACCTAAAACATCCCAAAATCACTTAAATTAAAAAAAATTAGTAGAATAAAAAAAATATATAAACCAAGCCTAACCTATTTTTTTAGGTATGTTTAGGAATAATCCACCATCATTGAATGGAAAAATTGATACCAAGAAAAACAAGTTTCATTGCTAAAAATTGATCATTTATTAACTTTGTCCCTCTTTCACTATTTTCAGTAGACTTTCTTTTTCATATTTCTAATTTAAAAATTAATATGTTAAGAAAATAAATTTTTAGATCAAAATTAAAATGAAAAAAAACTAAAAGGACCGTAAAGTAAGAAAAAGAAAAGTAGGTGGACTAAAAAGAACTATTTTTATTGAATTTAAGATTGGCCATCAAGTTTCTCTTTATTTTACATTTTGGTCCTCTATTGTTGAATTTTTTTCTTAACAAAAATTGATAATTTTTTATGAAATTAAATATAAAAGACTTCATTGAAAAAGAAAGTTTGATAATGAAAATAAAAATAAAAATTTGGATACTATGAATCACTACAATGATTTACCTAAACTTTTTATTATGTTTTATTATACTATATAAAAAGTATAATTAGCCATAATATCAATTACACTATTGTCAATTTAAATTTTGTGCTATAATTTTTGTTTTTGTAAATGATCATGTTAAGCACATTACAAAATTGGTTGGATTATGCATTTTTTCTCAATGACAAATCATAAAAAATATCTAAATTTGTTTTTTGATTTATCATTAAATAAGATAACAAGTACTTTCCAAGGTCAAGAAGTATCATGTTACTTTCTCTTACTCATTTATTCTAGTATGTAGTTTTGTTTTTAAAAGTTAATATTTATTAAATGTTTTTTTTTAAATTACCTTGATAATTTTATAATTTAATTATGTTTTTACTATAGCGATGCTCTTTTAAAAGTTATAATTTATATCATAAATCAAAATAATTTCTCAAATAAAATAAAAAGATGAAATTACTCTTGTATATTACATATCGAAAACACCTTAAAAGATAAAAGAAATTCTCTCTTCAAACATTATCTCTCTCTCTCTCAGGTTTACAAAATATCACCAATTTTGGAGACCCGATTCCACATGGCACATTACACCCTCACAGCTATAATTGAAGATAATGCCCGGTACACACGGGTACACAATTGAACAGTCTTTTAGTGCATCTTGATTTGATGTATGGATGCCAATGGCCCATCCATTATTGGGACACCACGTGGGCTTTTGTCACTATTGTAAAGTTCAAAGAATCAACACAACATGAAATCCACAGTTGTTTTTCCACAAACACGTGATTGAATTTTAACCCTCCTTTTTCTTTTTCTTTTGTTTTTTTTTTTTTTGTAATATTTGCTCTATGGAAATAGAAGAAAGACTACGTTGCCTTTTCCAAAACGATTTTACGAAAAGAAAAAAGCAGATTTTTTCTGGGAATAAGATATCATGTTGTAGTACAAGCGAGAGGTGTGGAAAATTGGCTATTTATCTGTCCATTGCAATGATAATTTTACAAAATTATTGGACTTTTTTTCCCTCTTAAAAATAGAGGAGAAAACCTCCTCGTCCACTGCCGCATAAGTGAACCCACCTCCGATGATCAAGCTCGGAGTCAGTGGATATTGCAAGCTGGCTGGACCACGTACCTTTCTGAAGGACCCGAGTGTTAAAAAGGGAGACATCTTCCAATTTCTCATAAGATCATTCACGAGGTACGAGGTACCTTTGTAGTTATTGAACTCCTAAACTAAAATCATTAAATTTTCTCAATTAAGGTAAGAAAGTAATTCATTGCTGAAGCTAGTAATAATCTGTGAGTAATTTAAGAGTTTTGTATAATAAATATATATGGTTGAGTTTATTCATTAGTGTTTGAAATCTTGCTCTCACACATACATTATATATATTATTTTAAAAAATATTTAAATAATATTTAATAGTATAGTAATGATTATTTTTAAAGTATTTTTTATTTTAAAATATATCAAAATAATATATTGGTTATAATTTAATTAAAAAGATATGCTTTGATATTTTCTCTCCCTCTCTCTTTCTTTTCCACCACCTAATTTATGTGTCGATATTTGTTTTTTTTACCGCATGAGCCTAGTTATTTTTGTCAATCTAGACCTAGTTATATAAGATCTAGGGTCAACTTGGTGATTCTTTTATTTGAGATCTGATTTGGGTTAGTTTATGATAAAATTTAGTTTTTTTCTTTCAAAACCATATTGTTTTAGGTTTATGTATCATTTAAAAAAAGTCTAAAATGACGATGATATTTTACCATGTGGGTCTAGTTATTTTTGTTCATCTACTTCTGGCAACACATCTAAGAAACCATTGTAGTATCTAAATTGAAATACGGTCCATTAGATGAGCATCTTGAAAGAAAAAGGAGAAAACTCACTGAATACTAACATAGAAAGAGAAAAACAAGTGAAGGCAAACGGGGAAAAATAGAACAGAAAAGAAAATGGTAAGCATATGTCCTCTCATCACCATGATCAGTCAGCAACAAACTCAATCTTGACATTAGCAACGGTAACAAAATCACCACCAGTCCGAGGCACTAAAGTCACCACAAGGGTATCATCTCCTTCAGCTTCCAGATCTTCCAACAATCCTGTAATCCCCAATACCAGATTTGTCTTTGATTTTTTTGCATGCTTGTGAGGCACATTGACGAAACTTCCCGCAAACTCGGACTTGTCCGGTCCACCAGGTGAATCAGGTTCATCGTTGACGAGGACATCGAACTTAATTAATTGATTTTCTTCATACTCAATCCCTTCAATAACTAGAACTTCAGCTTCATCTTCTTTCTCCGTTGCGCTTCTTGATTTCTTTGGCCTGGAAACCTCCACACTTATGACTTTATCCAAGACAACAGGGAATGCACTAATTGGTGTTAATACAACGCTTTTTTTAGCTGCACGACGTAATTTTTCCTGCCTTGTTAATTTTGGTGTTGGTCTAGTTTTCAGCCAAGGAATAGGAACATCTTGAAAGCCATATCTTAGCTTCTTGGTGTCAAGAGTATCTTTAACCTTTACTCGAACCAGCTCTTTATTCTCATTCCAGAAAAGAAACTCTGAATTAAGCCAATCAGGATCCTCGATATCCTTTCGCTTGCCTCCAGGTATTTTCTTCCACAAGTCCCACATTCGGTCGACGTTCGAGTGATGACAGTAAAATATAGGATCTCTCCCTGCAGAGTAGAAATTGCCCATATTTTCCCCTTTAGTTTGATTGGGGTCGCCGGTCCAGATGTGAATCTCAGTGTGTGGGGTGGTCTCAATTGTACCCATTCCAGGACTTGGATCATCACCAGCACGATATGGTTTTCCAAAAAAGAGAGTAGGCTTCGTGGCACCGGACACCATTTGCCTGTACATTACGTTAAGATTGCTTGCATACAATTCCTCTGCTTTTGCAGGGTCTGGATTCGCATCTCCTTTGGCGTAATTAAGATCAAGTAGTGTCGGAGGTTGGTGATTCGCGTCGCGAAGGGGGTCATAAAGTGGTGATTGGGGGTCAGTAAAAATGGCTGGCATTTGCATGCCGGCAGGGGCATCCCAATTCCAGAAAGGCAAAGCGAAAGTTGGATCATCAATCAGTTTACCCAAGATTCTTTCGAAGTAGTATAAATAGGCTCTATGCCATGGAAAGAAGAGCCACGAGAAGTGAATTTGAAGGTCTAAATCAGGAAAGCCTGCTTGGTGATAAGCACCATCACAATAAGCACAATGAACGTTAGCTTGGTTCTTGAAGCTACGTGGATCATCGTCAGGAAGACTTTTCATCAGTGCAATGGCTTTGGCGTATTTAGCTACGTAGGCTTTATCAACTAAATGAGCAGCAGGCCTAATGCGCATTGGGGAGGACGCAGAAGGGAATTCGAAGTTTTTGATCTTTGTGGAAGTTTGAGGGCAACAGTTCGTGGGATTACTTTCGGATGGCAGGGTAACGAGCTCACATTGGGTTAAGTCTGGGGGTGCAATGGGGTTAGCATAGGCAAATGGATCACTAAGTCTAGTTGCTCCATAGAGTCCACCGAGACCAATGAGCAGATCTCTTCTGGTGGCAGGGTTTTGTTCGTGATCATTCTTGCCTGATTTGCAAGAAACAATCGGGATATCGAGACGGTTTGGCTTTTTAATTCTGGAAACTCGGTTAGTTTTCGGGAAGGAAGGCAAGAAAGAGGAGGCAGCTAAAGGGATGCTACTTGAAACAGAAATACAGGAAGCCATAGCTTGGTTTGGTGTGGGGGTGAAGGATTCTTGGGTACCATTTATAAGAAATGTCCATGGTAAAACGACTACTGTGGCTTCCATTAAAATAATCTCTATCGGAGTAAATGTGATCTGTAAATTTTTTTTATTAAAAAAAACATTCTATTTGAATTCAAAGAATAATAGAGGCAACCACTTAATGCAAATTTGGAGTACGATAGTTTTTATTTTTACAAAAATATATTCATAAAAAAAATTAATAATTTTTATGTTTTAATATAACAAAATTATTTAATATATTTTCAAATAAAATCACTTATACAGATTACATGACACAACTTCAATGGAAGAGATATGAAAGCATTTTTATGTTTTAAAAATATTTAAAAAAATTAAATTTTTATTTTTTAAAATTAATATTTTTAATGTTTTTTACATTATTTTTAAAAAATAAAAAATATTATTTTAATATATTTTTAAATAAAAAAATATTTTTAAAGACTACGGCAGCCCCGTTATCCTAACATACACGCCAGAAATTATGCATGCTCGATGTTCTGTTCTCGCTGTCCTTTTACAGCCAGCTGATTGCATTTCTGTGGGCAGATTCAAAAATCGATTGAGCCATCTGAGCATGTGGAGTCTGTGGAAAATGTGCATTACTCTTCGATGCCTTTTCCACAGCTATAGCCTTCTGAGCATGTGGACACGAGAAAGGGCACTCGAATCTCAAGTGATGACCCCTGTGTGGACACTAGTACCAGATGAACCTTGTTTATCAAAAGTTGCAGCATCTGTATTTCATTTTAATGATGTTGGTATTTGTATTTTAAAATTATTATTTTTATTTAAAATTAATTTATTTTAAGATGTTTTGATTTGTTGTGTTAAAAATAATTTTTTTAAAATAATTTTTTTTATTGAATTTCCAAAAAACTATTTTAAAAAATAATTATTACTACACTTCTAAATAAATTTCTTCTAGGGTAATTTTAAAAATATATCATTTATGTTTGCTTGCTATATTTTTTTTTAAAAAATTATATTTTAAATATTAATTAAGATTTAATTCCATAAAATCAAATAATGGAGCTAATCTCTATAATCATTAAACCAATCTCTTAACATTTATTAGAAAGAGGTCGACACTATGATAATGGCCATAAGAGTGAAAAATGAAAAGAAAATCAAATAGGTATGCTTTTTGTTCGTGATCGTTCTTGCCTGATTTGCAAGAAACAATCGGGATATGGTGACGTTTTGGCTTTTCAATTCTGGGAACTCGGTGTGTTTCTGGGAGGGAAGGCAAGAAAGAGGAGGCTGCTAAAGGGATGCTACAGGAAAGAGAGGTAAAGGAAGCCATAGTTTGGTTTGGTGTGGGGGTGAAAGATTCTTGGATACCGTTTATAAGAAATGTCCATGGTAAAACGACTGCCGTGGCTTCCATTAAATTAATAATCTCAGTCCGAGTGAATGTGATCTGTAAATTTCTTTATTAAAAAAAAAACAATTTATTTGAATTCAGAGAATCTAATAGAGGCAACCCGTTAATACAAATTTGGAGTAAGATAGTTTTTATTTTTTAAAAATATATTTATATAAAAAATTAGTATTTTTTATAATTTTTATGTTTTAATATAAAAAATTTATTTAATATATTTTCAAATAAAATTATATATAGAGAGTACATGACACAACTTTAAAGGAGCGGATATGAAAGTATTGTTTGTTTTTATATTTTTAAAAAATTAAATCTTTTAAATTTTCTATTAAATTGAAGTGTAATGCTTAATTTAAATATATCATCTATAATAAGATTCAAGTTTTTAATATATAGAAAACTCAAATTCACATATTAAACTTAATATGATAATGGAGTCATTAAAACTTGAAAAACAATAAAGATTTAGAAACTATTGTTAAGGAAAAAGGTATGCTTGAAGCACCTATTGCAAAACTTAGGGTGAGGGTTAAGATTCAGAAATTGAGAGTAATGGTCAAATACAAATTGCTTAAGTACTTAAAAATATATTTTTATCAAGATTGTATATCATTATTTTGCACTTGAAAGATTAATAACTCCGTAACTAAAGCATGTTTTATAATAGCATATCTAATAATATAAAATACCTTTAATTTATGGTAAATGTTCATCTTAAATGTAAGTTTATCACACAAATAAAAGGATTGATTGATGAGTTTAAGCACTGAAATTAAAAGGACAAAGAGATTACCAAACTTAGAAAAGAGATGCCGGTATAGTTCAAACTAGAACACTGTTCGGTAATTAGGTTATATCTGGAGTTGTAGATCTCAGATTTAGGTCTAATTTTTATGGATGAAAAGGTAAGACATAGGCGTACAACTTTCATTTGGAGTCTAAGATATAAAAAGGTCGTTTTCAAGTCCAATTGGAGTCTAAGATTTAAAAATGTCGTTTTCAAGTCCAAATGACCTCAATTTTTTTTTTTAATGGAAAGCTAAGAAAATTTCCTTGTTGAATGACTAATCTACATTTACATTTATGACTAATCTACATTTATGTTATATAACAAGTTCCAAATGTGATGTTATCAATGACATTTTGGGCAGACAAGAGAAGATAAGGATTATCACCAAGTGAAGA